TTTGCGGCTGAAATGTGCTACGCCAATCATCAAAATCGTGTCAAAACGAACAATCTTCTATGGGCGAATTTCCAGCAGAAAAGTTTTTTGACTTCTGCACCTCTACACCGATTTAGAATCTATCTCGCCTTTTATTACCTGCTTAAGATGTACCCCACTGTACTATATCTCAAAGAGAGGTTTTCTCTCTGCTAAGTCGCACGCACACGACGAAAATGTCTGGTTATTTTTTAGTCAAACTTTTTCTATTTTCTTCACGCTCTGCCTCCCGATTGGTTCCCAGACTTTTTTAATTTTAATCTTCTTGTTTTTTTCCACTTTACTTTATGTTAAGGGATGTAAAAATGTCATATGTCATCGCCCGTGGGAGAAGGTGGTACAGTGCTCATTCAATCACATTCAGGGAAAACTTTTTCAACTGCTCTGGCAATCCAAAGATAAGCGTTGACGGGGAGTTCTGCCGTTGTCGCACCAATTAGGAACCGCGTAGTCGACAAATGAACTGCTCAAGATACAAAGTATAAATGGCCCACGAACGGAGGTTCCACTTTTATCCCATTATTATGTCACCGACCGGGGATATCCCACCATATATAATCCGCTAGGTTTGTGTGCTGGTGTATGCATGTGCGTGCTTGGCCAAAAATTCATAACTCGCCTAGATTCAAAGCCAGTCCTTGCGTTTGAGCAACTCGAAGGCGTCCTTCCTTGCGTAAATTGTCTGGCCCTCACTCTCTAAGGTTGCCCTACGTTCACTGCTTCACGGTCAGTGACGAAGGTGCTGTGGCCCCCAGAAGTGGCATCTCCGACGCCTCCCTAGTAGTTCCGCCCATAGGTATCGCCCGCTGAAAGGCTATTCTCTACCACAAGTTCAACATTTTACTCTGTGTTTTCTTTTTTTTCCACTGCTAGATGGTAAAAGCAGTGGATGACGCGAAGAAACGATTATTGAGCTAGAGATGGCAGGGTATCTGACATAACACGAGCAGCTCCGGATAACTCGTTCAGAAAGGTTACTGGGTCATTGCCGGGTTTGTCTTCAACTGCGGAGAGATAAAGTTGATAGGTGATGGGGCGGCGCATTCTGGCTGGGTGTCAGGAATTGATACCACCTGATAAAAGGCGATGAGTAGTGCTAGAAAGGGAGCATCACGAAATTCATAAGCACCGCCACAGCAATAACGAGATGTTTGTTTCAAGCAAGATATAAAGGTGGGACGCAGACGTAGACGGCGGGTGACGGGGAGTGGTAACAAGTGGTAAAAGATGATAAGGAGGTTAGAAGTGGAGTACTACGAGAATCATAATGTGAGCCTCAGCAGCAGTGGGTTACTCTCAGTTGGTCGTTGGATAATTTAAAAGAATTTCTCAAGGCACGACTCACAAATTCTTTCGTCCCTATTGCATTGGCAACTTGCTGTTAAATGACGAATATTATTGAATTCGGTTATTCGATTACTTCCGAACCTTAAGCATTCAAGCGTTTGTGGCAACATAATGAAAACAGAATCTTGTAATTCTGCAACCTCACGTAAGTTCCCAGCGTAGTGAAGCTCATTATACTCATGTGTGTGATCGTCACGCAAGCCACTCCGATACCATAGCAATGCCTACCCCACTATTTCGTTTTTGCAGTAGGCGCTAACCATATCAGCATTCACACGATTGTTTTTGAGGAATTGTATGGCACGTGCCACACACCATTTCTGGTCGCTATTTCAGGCAGAATAACTGGAACATTACTGTCTTTAGGAAATTGCATTGGAAATAGTGAAGGAAAGCTGGAGTGCCTACAGAACAGGTGGAAATTGAACACGTGACATAAGTGCGTAGAAGCTCCAATCTGTACTTTTAAACTGAATGCCACTAGATGCATTTCTAAAGGGCAAAATGAATGTGCTACTTTCCTTGGGAACTATGTTACCATTGTTTGAAATATGTAACTATGGAGACGGCTGAAATTCCATACCCTGAGAAAACCCAAAAAAGTTTCAGTTCTTACCTCGCGGCGGTATTACGTATTAGGCAAATTAAATCTGCGATAGGGAAACACCTGAAAGTACAGGAGACCCACTGGTCTCTAGAGAGAGCGGTTTCTCTCTATGGATCTTTTTTGAAATAATGTACATTGATAGAGAACCAAAAATGTCAACACTTCCTTGATAAGATGCTATTTATAAGGGGTTCACCTTCAACGAATACCTTGTCTCTATCTCGCTACTGATTTAATTGGAAAAAGCCACATTATAACCCTATTTCCAGGGTCAGGGCCAGGGCACGCCATCTTTGTGATCATCACAACAGGGGGGTCGTATTTGCCCGCGATGGAGGGGGGGGGTCGTAAACGCATGGCCCATGTTGAAGTGGAGAGAGCGGTGATACACGGTACAAGTGAAAAGAAGCTCAAAAGGGACGATGTAGATGACAATAAATAGAACTAGGCACTATCGAACTATTCCTAGGCCAAGAACTAAAAAAATATGCTGAAACTCTCACAAGAATGCTGAGTTATGGGCAAAAGTCGGACCACGGGCGGGATTCGAACCCGCATCTTCCGCTTTCCGTGCGAATGCGTTCCCTATTACGCTACCGAGGCCACCTTTGACCACTCAGCTCAATGGCTATTTGTGCCATAGCCTTACAGCACTCACACGTTCAACGTGATGAGCCGGTTAGCCGATATCGGCAGTGAACCGCAAGGCTGAAGGCTTTTTACAAGTTTCAAGCTGTTATTGTTTGTTAACTGCTGTTTAACGCCGCAGTACGCGATTCGAAAGCTATCACAAGAATGCTGAGTTATGGGCAAAAGTCTCGTTCCGATTCCAGAGATTTTCCCCGTTGTGATCATCGTTGTGATCCGTCTGTGATCATTTTTGCGAACCGCGAGTCGCTACGCTTTGGACGTCCATGGCAAGCTTCATACACGGCCTTTTCGTAAAAAAAGAATTGTGCCGGAAGCTTGAAGATTTCTACTTTCCAGCAAGGCTTTAATTTTCTTCCTAGGCCTGCTATTCGAAAAAATTCCCCGTTGTGATCATTTCGTAACCACCCCCCACGACACGAAAAATCAGCCCCTCCGAGGCCATGAAACCTCCAGTTGGCTTGAAGACTTTGGTATGCTTCTAAAACACATGTTTTCGCAAAGGGTATCAGGAAATAGGCCATTGGGCGCCAATTGGCATCACCTCTGCAATGCGCCATGCATGGGGCTTTCACGCAGGTGTTTGGAAGGTGTAACTTCTAGATAGGGCTTCCCAATTGCAAGCAAATGTGCTCCTGCAATCAGAAAAGTCCGGGAATGTACTTTCGTCTGTTTATTCATCGTCAGTCGTAAGTCCTTTCCATTGTTTATAAATTCATGGTGCCCTTGTGGGCGGTGATCGTAGCTCCTATCATCGCCCTTCCTCGTACGTATTGTCAGTATGCTACACCAGCGCCAGAGTGCTGGACGTGCTTGGGACGTACGTAGGTACTGCGACCCCCCCCCGCTCGACAGCAAAATTTTGTAAAAAAACCAGAAATTTTTTGGGAAAAAATAGACAAAGTGGTAGGAGGTTGGAAAAATCTAGGGAAGAGGTAACATGGGGAGGGGGTCGTACTTGAAGATGGAATTAGGGGGGGTCGTATTTTTCAGGAAATGATCACAACGCAATGGCGTGCCCTGGTCAGGGCGCGGCGGATATGCGGCAAGAGAACCGCAATTCGTTGCGCCAGTGGAGCGTCGCGCGCGACGTCGCGCCCGCTGATGACGACGATTTTAGGTGGTATTGTCGAGAATAGACAATGTATGACCAAAAATAGACATAAGTGTCTACCATTTCCTTGTGTACATGAAATCCGATGCTTCAACTGAAAGAGCACTGCAAATTAAGGAATCGCATCCATTGCCGCTCAGCAATCAGACTATCATCCACTGCGTTTGAATGCTCACGTATCTCCCCTCTGTGTGTTCAGATTTTTCTGACAAGGGAATGGTTTGAACTTCCCATGGAACTTTGAATGGAGACCTAGGTACATCGATAGAGCCTCGAATGCTGATTACGAATATGCAGATTAAAAGTGCTACGGGGACCTCCCAGACGAGATCTGGGTGGTCAAAGTTTGAGTTCTGGCTCGTAAGCGCTGCTGATCGATGCTTCGGCAGTGCCACCGTGGCCTCGTGGTAATGGTCTCGCTTTCAAGTCAAACGCATGCGGGTTTGCATCCGGTTGGCGCGAAAATTTTTGCTTCGCTCCGTATAAGAGCTTCAACTCTAATTTTCGAAATTCTTCCGAATTTACGGCCCAGCAGGGCAAGTAGATCAAGTACATCAAGTATACGACGTACTCGATCTAGTATGGATTTGGTCATATCTGCCCTCTCTGAACATATTACCCATCCGACAATTCAAAGTTTTAGCGAGAAATTCGTTCATGGGAGATTTCGACCCCCTGAACACGAATATCACATCCTTCGACGAAAAAACGCTCGTCTGGCCAAATTGCGATTCTGGGCAAAACTTTGAATTGTCGGATGGGTAATATGTTCAGAGAGGGCAGATATGACCAAATCCATACTAGATCGAGTACGTCGTATACTTGATGTACTTGATCTACTTGCCCTGCTGGGCCGTAAATTCGGAAGAATTTCGAAAATTAGAGTTGAAGCTCTTATACGGAGCGAAGCAAAAATTTTCGCGCCAACCGGATGCAAACCCGCATGCGTTTGACTTGAAAGCGAGACCATTACCACGAGGCCACGGTGGCACTGCCGAGGCATCGATCAGCAGCGCTTACGAGCCAGAACTCAAACTTTGACCACCCAGATCTCGTCTGGGAGGTCCCCGTAGCACTTTTAATCTGCATATTCGTAATCAGCATTCGAGGCTCTATCGATGTACCTAGGTCTCCATTCAAAGTTCCATGGGAAGTTCAAACCATTCCCTTGTGAGATTCAACTACATGGGCGTTGTAGATCGCACGATCATCCAGTTTCTGAGTTTGAAATCTTATTTCTTACGTTTGCCCGATTTCAGGTATTTGAATCAGAATCCGGAGAACGCAGGTTTGTACCCGAAACTTAAAAGCATTGACGCAGCCACTATTGATCAAACTTGCAGTAATCCGGGATTCGAGGCCGTAGCTGGCAACTATTTGAAGGTATACGTTCTCGTGGGAACTGGCAATTAGAGGGGCTTGTTACTGAGCGTTATTTTTAGGTGTTTGACGACATCATAAGTACAGTTGAAGAAAAACCTGGTGACGTACAGCAGGCATGCGATCGTCTGATGGCAGTGGGAAAAATGCATCGCACTAAGGTAAATCAGCCAGCTCGATTCTGATTCTTCAAAAAAAAAACAGTTCAACACGAGTACTTAATAGCTGTACTGATTTTCACGATACAGAGTGCATCGCGCCGTAAAAGCTCTAATGAATGACACGTCGAGATATACCGGGGAAAGAAACTGGGTTGTGAAAAATGCTACTAACAGCTGTTGAAGGCGGATGAGGTCTTATAAAGGAAGTCCAATCAAGTCGGAGGCCAGATATCACCGAAAGCACCTGCTGAGGGGTCAGGAAGAAATTTGGCGATCGGGTGTGGGGGGGGGGAGAGAGGGGTGATGGTGTGGGAGGGAATTTCGCACATTTGCTGCTTCCATCCACGTATCGACCCATCTAGAAAGCCATTTCGTTAGCTTGCAAGATTTGACAGGTTTTACCACGGCGGCTCGACGAACTTGCTCCAGATTCACAAGAGTTCACAGGGTGGGACTTGTAAACCGAACCTAGTGGAGCAGCAAAAGAGCAAAATGTCCCTCCCATAGCCGGAGTGCGCTTGGGCCTAGCAGCTTTTCCCATTAGCTGTGCTGGCCCTATGTGCGTAGCACGTGTCATGGCCACTGTGCTTGGAAACGGACGCTCACCATCTCTTACTGTTGAGTTGAAGTGCAGACGCCCTGTAGTCCTTACTTGAAGCAAATCCGTAATGGTCGCTGAGGTGAGAAGGCGCTGACTGTGAGCATGTTTCATGGTTGCTCAGAAGAAGTTCGGCATTACTTATGACTCGACATAGGAGATGAAGAAATTGTCAATGACTCTTTTTGAGATTTGTCTCGTGGAGCTGCGAGGAGTTACCCCCTCCTCCCGCCTCATCTGTGACTCAACTCTTGACCAATTAATTTACGAGAAAGCAACGCCAAATAGAAATCAAGCAAATATAGCATATACCACAATCAGGCTCTCGGAGGCGATTCCTTAGTCGGGACTTGGATCAAGTATAGCAGTTCCTTCACAATAGACCTACCTGGCAGCATAACCGCTCCAGTGATTGCCGCGCGCAAAGACCCTCATGGAGGTCGAGTGAGTCTGGCCCTTATTCTGATTTACAACCAATGACCTTCAGATAGAAAAACTCTTCAAAAAGTTTTACGCGCAACTTTCACACGCTGCTTTGAAGCTTCCATTGTGCACAGATAGCCTTAATCACCTCTTTGTTTTAGGTTTCCGGTATGCAGAACAGTGCCTTTCAAAATATGGAGGACCCCTTCCTCAACATGGTGAAGGAAGCACTACAGGACCGCTTCAACGAGAAGGCAGAGGGCCTGTTCAGAAAGTTTTTCCAGTTCTGCCTCAAATACCTGCAGGAGGGTTTTAACGGTTAAACACTATTCACTTAAATGCCTCAAAGGTCCTGCAAGAAAGATTCTTTCACCCTTTCATGTGTTGTTAATGTAAATTCCTCCGAAGCGAAATGAAAGACTACCAGCCATTGGAAATAAGCCCATATCTCGGACTGAAAATGGCTGTGGCTCTGGCTGAATGCGAAAGGAGGTGAACGTTCGCCGATCAAGTAAAGATGTAGGAAACGCGTCCATAAGCGATTACCTGAGAGGACGAACAGCACGGCCGAACCGATGCCTTCTCTGAACTGTCAACTGTTCAGGTCTATCGCGCTCACAACCAGGCAGATGTACCCTCGCCCCCAAAGGCAGAGCTGTTGATCATTCGCTGTCACGGATAGTGGATTAGGTGTTCGCATGCAGACCACAAGATGCTGAGTAGCTCGATAGTCAAGAAAAAAAAGCAGGAAAAAATCGTGTTAACTGCCCTAGATAGAACACATTTCGATCACACTTTGCACATGAGTTATCTCCAATTCCAACACTACGACCCCATCCGCACAGCTGATCTCTCGATAAGAACTCTACGAAGGTACAAGTGACGACTCCCATGCTTTTTCGTCCTGCAGCTTCATTTTTCACTGGGCGTGCCTTGAAAGCGGTGTCAGGACGCGGAGACATTGGAAACGCGAAGCCGTTACGAAGTTGTTCGCCGCAGACCACACTACCCTCCCGACGCCATATTAATAAATTCTATGCCCGATGGCGGGCCGTGCCTTTAAACGCCGAGATATGGACTGAAAGACCACTTCTTCCTTCACAGAGATCTCTCCACCACTTTGACCCGTTTGTGAGCGCAAGAAGGATTGCATTGGTGGGTTGGGACTGACTGGAATGTCATACATCTTCACGCATACTCTTGAATTGAATGTGATAAAGTATTGGGTTGGCCCATACCATAAGAAATGGCGTTTTTTTTAATGAAAAACTTTGTCTAAAAAGGAAACATTTTGCATGCAATTTTGATAGAAACGAATCATATGATAGAAGCGTTTTCGCACTGTCAGAATAAATATTGAACCAACTGCGATGGCGGGGTTGCTTTTTGTAAGTTGATGAGTCTTCAAAGTTGAACTTGAGTCTTCAGCAGGGCACATCATTGGTTGGGGATTTTGTCGAGTGCATACCACCCCTCTTTTTTGGGGGGGGGGTGGTACGCCCCCCTCCCCTTCAGCCCTGTGTCCCTCCTCCTTCCTCATCAAATCGAGCCGTCGAGCGGGGAGGGGGGGGGGGCATATAGTACGCATGAAACAGGAAAATCACGAAAAGTCAACCACCACTCCTAGAAAGGCGCAAAGTAAATACGACCCCCTCCTTTTACAACGCCGTGAAGCGAGAAAAATTAACTATCAAAATGAATGTTTCTCGGCCCAGATACGACCCCTTTTCTCCTGGCATCCAGTACGCCGCCCCCCCCCTAATGGGAATTCCCCAACAACGATGTTCCCTGGTATTAAGAAAATGAGTTCTTTGAGCACCTCCCGCGCTCATTCGAAGTGCTAAAATCGCTTGAGCTGTTCCATGAACTTGTAATAGGATAAGAAGTCCTAAGAAGGGAATCCTAACAGGACGGCTCATAATTGATTCCTAGAAATTCAAAGTTGGCTAAATTCAAAGGCGGGAGCTAAGCCCGCGAATATTGAGCAGACTCATAAGTCATCGCGCCCTTTTCACTCAAAACATTCGCTTTTGTTCGAATGCTCTGCTGATCTGTATTGTATACTCTGATAGCTGGCACATGTCGTGCTCTATAACATTGCATTGCGTTTCTGCTATATTTGCTTGATTTCTATTTCCTTCACGTGATTCACAATGTCGGGTCGATAAGAATCAGCACTTCCCTTTTTCCGAAATCTCCTCTTTTTCGCTTTCAAACGAGGCGTTAAACCCGCTGATGCTGCTCGGGGGATGTGCGAAGCCTACGAGGAAGAGGCCATGCTTCTTAGAACGGCTCAGAATAGGTTTAAGCGATGTCAACTAGACGTCGCGAATGAACATCGCGCCGACGTCTTGATGAGTTTGATGAGGACCACCTCAACCAGCTCTACAAAATCCAAGCAGCAGAGATAGTTGGCAGAGGTCAACCTGCACTCGATGGGCTAGGTTGAAAAGCTTGGTGCTTTCGTTCCGCACACTGTGAGCGACGAGACAACGAATCACCGACCACGCTAGTCTGCTTGCTCGCCATAAGCTGAGCCACGAGCATAGCCACAAGCAAAGATTTCTTTATCGAATTGTCTCTAGTGATGAAAAATGATGCTTGTACGTGAAAGTGAAGCAGTCACAAGGAATGGGTTAAGTCCCAACAAACAGGCAACAACGCGAGCAAAGCAGGATATTTATCCACAGAAAATAATGTTGTGCGCATGGTTGGACTGAAGAGGCATCGTCCACTACGAGCTGCTCGAGCGGAGCTGAACCATCAGAGCTCTCGAAAAGACGAAATATCAGCTAAGATATGTAAGGGATGTGAAGTGGAGCTAGTGCATTGTCATGTGCAAGTGGTGCTTCTACCTCACGTCTATGAGAGCTCTCGAAAAGACGAGAACAGAGGCTCAACAACTGCAGCGACTGAATACACTATCTGGCGTAAGCGACCTGACCACTATTATGGAGTTCTTCTGCAGCACGAAAACACCCGCCCTCATGTCGCTAACATGACTAGGACGACCACACAGACATGGGAATCCTTCCACATAGTCTACATTCTCGCGATTCGGCGCTCCAATTTTCATCTTTTCCGATCCCTTCCAAATGCTTGCGTGGTGTTTCCTTCAAAATGATATCGAATTAGGGTCATGAAGATGCTTTCTTAGAGGCAAGGCCACAGGTTTTTACCGACAAGCCATTGAAAAACTGATTGATCGGTGGGGGGGGAAGCTGTAAGAAACAATGGAGAATTCATTACTGATTGGTTTTTGTAAATATTCATATATATTTATAGTGTCGTAAATATTGTGTTCAAAATTCAACCGTGAATATAAAAAAAGTCAATGGGACGACCGGATGTCTGCAGGGTCAGCATTTCCGTCTTTGATTTTCTCGAAGACCTGGCACTCCATACTAATAATCTGAAAACAATAGAAATCAAAAAGCGAATATGAAAAATACATTTCCAATGCAGTGCTATACAGCAAGAGTTCTTCGCACAAAATTTTGAGTGGAAAAGGCGCGTGACTCATCAGATTGCTCAATATTTGGGAGGTGAACTCCGTCAGCCTTGAGTTCTGTAAATCAGTTATGAGCGTCCTATCAATATTCTATCGTGCCGACTCAAAATTCAACTTCAACGACTTATCAATTTACGAAATCAATTCCGCCTTCAAAGTTGTCTCAATATTGTTATTTTGCAAGAAGATTCCTATCAGACGACACTACCGACATCTATCCTTCATTGAAAGTTGCTATGTATAGTAGCTACGCCATTCAAGCCCAATAATCCGTCTTATCTATATAGCGCTCTCATTTCTCTGAAACCGATAGGGTTGATAAAGTCGACCGCATGGAATTTGCTATTTATTGTAATTTTATATTTCGTGCGTCACATAATGTTTATCCAGCCGATTATCTTACAAAATTTCTACACATAAAATGTTTCTGGAAATTCTTTAACGAGAAAATGTGTTAGATACAAATGAGAGCTCAAATCAACACCTAACTTCGAAGTTGGAAACATATTTTCCCAATTAGGTTATTATGGAATTAGGTGGAACCGTTATCATGCGACGCTATGTACTTGAGAATGATTGGCATTTGGCATATTATTAGTGGTCATAACATAAGGGATTTAGTTTTGTTGAAACATGAGCCCAAATTGTTACGATTCTTCTTCTCTCATCTCAAGGACTAGATCACTTCCAATTCCGTCAATTTTTATGATTGTCTTCACAATGAATGCGTCAGAAATGCTCAAACTTCTCTAAAGATTTTCATTTGTATAGATCATTGTTCTTCATCGCAGCCAGTGTATTTTTTTCTTGAATGAAGTTTTTTTCCTAATGAGTTCGGAACTAGTAGAGAGAGCACTGCTGTAATATAAATTGTGTAATAGTATGTCTTCGATTCATAAAACTTGTCTCGGGATGTTCACAGGGGTCGTAAAAAACGGACGTCCTATCCGTCATCGTGGTATGACGAGTGGTGAACTCGCTAGGGAAATCTCAAATAGTCGTACCTCGCTAAACTACCTGGACGAGCATTTGATACCCCAGACTGCATACCTTCATATGTGGAATTTTCGGAGAGCATAAGCCAGTCAGACCAGTGTGAAACCAAACATGTCTTCATAGCGCATGACCCCGCCACTCACCTCCCTTCAAATGTGGACATACGGGCTCTTCAGGTCCAAATGCAGCGCGCTCAGTGGTACTTGGAGCCGATTAACAGAAAGAGTCCACTTCTCCGGCGTGCAGAAGCCTTTCCTTGAACGGGAGGGGGAGCAGTCCGAAAAAGTATCGTAAGTCCACAAATCGGAAACGTCGCTAAAAACACCACCGCACCACCGCATTACGAATCAGTCCATCCCCAAGTGCCTCTCCATCTGTATAGTTTCAAACTGACATGCCTTTATAGCGGCAAAAGCAATGTTTAGTCACCACTATTCGTATAATGGTTTCCCTTCTGTCTTTGCCCCATTTCTGATCTACATAGCACTTTGTAATTCATTCCAACCTTCAACCCTACCAGTCACGAATAGCGACCCTAAGCTCCAGCGATATTCCTGGCGGTTCACTCGAATCACCATGCTCTACTTATTGGTGGGAAACACACTCTGGAGTCGGTGTGAGAGGGGGGACAAATAATGTGGCCCAGTTCTTCGCCGCGGCTGCAGTAGAATTTGCTCCCAGAGGAAATCTGAGGCAGAGAATCTCAGAAATAGAGGAAGCGCTCACCCAGTTATCTGAAATCTCATTCATCTGAAAAATTTCAAGATACAGATAAGATACATGTGTCATAGATACATAAAAAGTATAACAACGAAA